TCTAAGACATTTTGACGGCAGTGTATTGGGCATTGTTGGTGAGTCTTGTCATTCTCATCACAAAGCTTCAGGATAGAAATAACAGAAAAGGACGAGAGATATCACAACCGTTCGGCAGACATGAACTTCACTTTTCTACTACTTTAGCAGAAGATTTTGGGGAAGGAGCATTTTTAGAGGTCAATCCGAAAGCACAACCAAGTTGAAAAATGAGCTTAGACCATTAGTTCATCTTCCCTCTTGCCTCTTGCCTTATGGCTGAAACGGGATTGGCTTGTAAAATGAATTTTATTTCAATCTTTTACTGCCTTCATGAAAAATCTTTTCTACCATAAGGTTGCTCTAGAGTCAGGGAGACTATCTAGGATCATTCAGTTCCCCAGGGATGACTATGTGTTCGCCATACTTGACTTGACCAACATGAGCCAGAAGGATTTTTAATGCATTTGATAGACAAAAATGTGCGATTTTTTTCGTTAATGACAACAACTATGAGTAAAAGTCATAGTAGCCTCCTTTACTCCTGGGCTGAATTGCAGCCATCGTTTTATTCTGATCAAACTTTTAGTAGTTCACACTGAAGGCCTGTGAGTTAGTTTAAGTGTGATAGTGTGTTTAAGTTCAACCGATGCATACTGGGGGGGAAAAAGGCAGGTGGTTTTGTCCTTATTTTCGAGAGGGGAACAAAGCAAGCAAAATAATGCTATTATTTGTCTGCATAAAAAGCTTATTTTTCCCTACAATCTTGTTTTAACGCTTCATTGAATTTCTTTTATCCCACTTCATTGCACAATCTCCATACTCCCACCGGCATCAGACCATAGCTAATAATGCTGTCAGGGGTAGCATATCACTGTCGGAGGCATCACGTTGTGCTCATCTGCCCAACAGCCCTCTGGCTGCCACAGTAGGAGGGGGGCTCAAGGTCAGCCGTCCCATGTTCACGTCAGGCTTCTCAGCGTACTCTCCTGCGACTCTTACCGGGGGTCCAGTGTCCGGATCGGATACCGTCCCCCCTGACAACAGTATGCCAAGACCGCATCAGACTGTCCACCACCATCCCCATCAACATCAACATCAACATCAACAACAGCAGCAACACTCCCAGTATCCATGCCAAAACCACCATCCTCACTCTCAGACACGCCAGCTGCAGCAGCAGCAGCATCAGCAAGACTATTTTACGTTGAGTCGACCGGGAGAGCCGGTGAAATTGGCCAGCCTGCCACCTCAGGCATCGGGATCAGCGGCCACAGCAACTGCTGGTGCGGGGCTTCGTTCAGGCCTGCTTCCTGGCTCTGAGTACTCTTCGTGTACAGACAGTGGCCGGGGGGGTAGTGAAGAAGAGGCTTGCGGAGGTCTGCAGGTTCCGCAGGCGACGATACCACCCAGAATCGGCAACCAATTGTTGTCAGGCTGAATTCAGCTGGCCACAGCCTTTGCGATTCTGTTCTCAACTGTCCAATAAACACCCCTTCACGCTCCAGATCACCGCTAATCTTCCTTTCGCTCTACACTGGCCTTCGATGCATCAGAGATTACCCCATTCAGAGTGTGACCCAATTAAGCTCGTTCTCGTTTCCACTTTTGGCTTTTGATCTGCCATTTTTCATCATTTGGCTTCATCTCAATTGCACCCCTCCTAACATACCTCCCCTAAATTATGACACATTGCACAGCAACATGTCGACTTCGCTTTTTGTTTTTCTATGTTTTGGCCAAAAACCTATTCACACCTTCCAATGAGTTGTTGCTTCATGCTTATTAACTTTTTGCAAACCTCTGTTTCACTCCGCCCTACCAGTTATGCCCTCATTTTCGCCTATCTCCTTCAGCTGTATTCACACATTTTATTCTTCTTCATCCCATCAACCCTCGAGGCCCTATCACGTTCTGATCTACTGCGCCACGCATGACAAACTAGCGGCCTTTGCGGTACAGCATCTCCATAAGCCCATTATTCACGAATTTTGATATAATAGTAAATACGTTTAGAGTATGGGACTTTTGGCCCAGTTACCCAATTTGTCGTCTCTCGTAAAATACGGTATATTAGTGCAATAACTACCCCACTGTTTGCAGGCCGTTTCTTCTCTCATCATTTGCCAGCTCATCAATTGCCTGAGCACCCAAAATGAACGCCGGTTTAGTAAAGTTTTTCTGTGCATTACTCTCATTCATACCGTTCACTGTGCAATGTTCTAAACTCCCCTTGGAACCGCGCATTTTTGAAGGCTCCAAAGTGATATTTATTCTCTTTTTAGCTGGACAATATCTGATCAACATTCCCTATTTCCGCAATATTTCGGTTCATTTGAGAAGGTTCAATTGAGCGACGCTAGGAACTAGGCGTTAGAATCTCCAGTTTTTCTATAACCGCCGCCTGAATTAAAGCGATTCTGATTTTACGTTAAGGTATTGTAAATTTCATCATCATATCCAACAATTTGCTTTTAATGCTTAAAGTATGGCTCCTAAATTTCATTGGCAACGAACTTCGGTGGAGCTTTTTCGCTGATTTGTTTTAAGCACTTGTACTTCTTGCACATGTCTATATTTCCTGCATTTTTGACCTTAATTCTTTACCAAATGATTTAATGAATACTAGCATTTCTTACATCAATTGTTCGATTCCCTTTATCCGGGTTGTGCATAAACTTAATTGTAAATTCTTTCAAAAAGGCGTGGATTTGTACATATTGCATATGCATGTATTACTGGCGGTATTCCATCAGATCAAAAATATTTGCTATAACAAGGCTTCCCTGTTATCACTACCCCTCGCAAACCTATTGCTCTAAATCATATTTTCATTATGATTGCCTAAGATGTCATTTCCACTTTCAAGGTGTCAAACACTCTGAATTGATTCATTTGTAGCCACGTAGCAATCAAAAGATGATCCGGTGCTAGCTCGACATGAGTTGAGACATTAAGGATGCATATGGTCGAACAGTTTTGCTAAGTAGTTGGTCTTCATCTGTCCAAAGACACTTAGGCCAAATCTGCTATGTGTAATGAAATGCGGAAAAAATGAGTCAAAGTTTCCGCCCGGTGCGAAAATGCTCATCTGCTTAAAGCTGATCGTCTGGCTTGTACAGGATCATTATGCACCACATTGAATTCCCGTTTGTTCCAATCATCTTCTGATCAACTAGCCCCTTTTTCCCTCCACTCTTTCTAGCTTCTTTTTCATGAGCAATTATCTTTCATGAATAAATGCCCAAAACAGCCTAATATGCCTAAGATTATTGAGTTTGTAAAGTAGCTGCTTGCTGATGGTGGTCTTTGTTCAAAAATTACCTGAAATGTAATGTGATCAACATTTATTATCATGCACATACCAGAAGAATGGACCGAAAAATGGCATTTTCGGCCAGGGCTGCACGTGGGATTAATGGCTGATGCCTTTGATTTAGTCTTCTTCATTTCAGAAGATTATCCTACATGCTTAGATTAGTGCCATAGCGGTTCATTGCACTATTTGCTCGGGGGCATTAGTCAATTGTGCATTTTGGCATAAGCGAGAATTTTTTGAGTAAGTCTTTTGCCCGGTATCAGTCCTGTTGAAACAAGGCAACCGGTAGTTAATTTCAGGAAAGTTTAAGGCCAATCATTAGCTAGATTACCTTTTGGGAAATAAAGAATATTTTTCATTTTGCGGATCGACTCAGGAAAACCAGAGTGTTGTGATAGTATAGTGTATCTGAAAGCCTATAATTAATCTAATGAGGACAATTACGTAATTGAACATTATTCGTTTCATGATGTACGTATAGGCGAGCTAAAATCTATCATTCTAGTTTTAGGCGCGAGAACCAAGAAGACACGGCCTCTTGGCTGTAAATTTGTAGAGTTGGACTAACTTCTTTTTCGCAATTTTTTAAATTCTCTGTGAATTTTTCCGTCGTCGTCTGTCATCGCATTCTTGATACTCTTCAGCTTCGGACGACAGATCCAGTGCATATTCAGACCATGCATTGTTGTACTAACTGCATGGTACTAGACTGAAAATTATCCTCAAATTAAGGACAGAGGACGCCGCACAAGGTTCGTTTCTCGAGGATTCCTTGAGAATACGGCCACTGTAAAAAAATGAGGCCAGTTCAATTCTTATAAGTAGGAGCAACTACGCTGTAGTAAAAAGTCATGTTACCTGTCCCTAATAAATAGAACTATTAGCCCCAACTATTAGCCAAAAGTGAGATCCTGTATTT